AGCTTGGTAGACAAACCAGGTGCACAGGGTGGTACATACAGCCATACAAGGGTTCCAGGGGCGAACTTGGCGGCAGGAGGGTGGTCGTCATCGCGGGCCTTTTTCTGGCGTTGCTGGTCAGCCGTAGTAAACTGCTTCGCTAGTTGGCGGCATTCTTCGGCGTGACGGGCGGCTTCAGACACGGTCGTGCACTCAGATACATCTGGTGCGTATGGCAGCAAAGTGTCAACTGTGTGCGATGGTTGACGTCCGTATAGAAGGTAGAATAGAGAAAAGCCGGTGGTGACTTGGGTAGCGGTGTTGTACGCGTAGGTCGCAAACGGAAGAACCAGGTCCCAGTTCGTTTGGTCAGATGCCACATGCGTCGCGAGCATGTCACCCAGGGTCCGATTAAACCGCTCAGTCAGGCCATTCGTCTGAGGGTGGTAAGCAGTACTCATCCGGTGTACAATATGGCACTGATGGAGAAGTGCTTGGATTACGTCGGATAGAAATACACGGCCCCGGTCACTGAGGAGCTCGCGAGGAGGGCCGTGACGCAACACAAACCGACGGAGGATGAAAGATGCGACGTCCTGAGCGGTCGCCGTAGGAAGAGCAGTGGTTTCGGCGTACCGTGTCAGGTGATCTACAGCAACGATAGCCCACCGGTTACCTGCTGTGGTCAATGGCAGTGGTCCATAAAGGTCGATTCCGACGCGATCGAATGGGCGGTCAGGGCACGCAAGCGGCTGTAGTGGAGCTGCTCCTGCATTCGGTGGCTGTTTTCGTCGCTGACACTCGTGGCAGCCGCGAATAAACTGTCGAACAAAAGTAGACATCCCACGCCAGTAGTACCGTTTCCTTAAACATTCGTAGGTCTTGAAGACACCGGCGTGAGCGCATTGCGGGTCAGAATGAAATGATGCACAGATTGTAGAGCGCAGCTTTCGGGGAATAACGAGCAGCCACTTCCTGCCGTCTGGTGAGTAATTGCACCGTACAAGAGGCCACCTCGAATGGTGAAGTGCGAAGCCTGGCGTCGCATTGCTCGAGTGATGGGAAGTGTCGGTACCCCAGATAAGACGTCCAGAAGCGAAGTTATCCAAGGATCGTCGCGCTGTGCAGAGGTCATTGTGTCGATGTCAAGAGCGGACAGCGCCTGTTCCATAGAAGATATAGAGGCAGCCTCAGTCGACAGTGGCGATCGTGAGAGCGCATCAGCATCAGCATGTTGGCGGCCGGAACGGTACACGACGCGGATGTCATACTCTTGAAGTCGCAGAGCCCAACGAGCAAGGCGACCTGATGGATCCTTCAGCGACGACAACCAACATAACGCATGATGGTCTGTAACTACAGCAAAGGTGCGGTCATATAAGTATGGGCGAAATTTCACAATTGCCCAAAGTATGGCTAAGCACTCTTTTTCGGTAACACTGTAGTTTACCTCAGCCTTGTTGAGCGTTCTGCTGGCGTAGGCGACGATATACTCAGGGGATCCAGGCTTGCGTTGAGCGAGAACTGCACTGAGACCGACCCCGCTGGCGTCTGTATGGATTTCAGTTGCAGTCGTGGTATCATAGTGGCGCAATATAGGCGGTGATGTCAGGAGAGGGCGAAGAGTGGTAAATGCTGGATCACATTCGGAAGACCATGATGAGATGTCGTCGGCACTGCTTAAAAGTTGGGTCAAAGGGGCAATTATGGAGGCAAAGTTGCGCACAAACCGACGAAAGTAGGAGCACAATCCTACAAAGCTGCGTAACTGTTTTACAGTTGTTGGTTTGGGGAATTCAGCAACAGCGCGTAGTTTAGCCGGGTCGGGAAGAACACCATCCTTTGATACGACGTGACTGAGAATGGTGAGCGTCCGAGCAGCGAAGTGGCATTTCTTGAGATTCAGTTGGAGCTGCGCATTCTTCAGACACGTGAGGACATGTTTCAGGCGTACAAGGTGTGTTGCGAAATCGGGTGCAAAGACGATGATATCGTCGAGGTAGCAGAGGCATATGTTCCATTTCAAACCCCGCAGAACCGAGTCCATCATGTGCTCGAATGTGGCCGGCGCATTGCAGAGGCCGAAGGGCATGACATTGAACTCGTATAGCCCGTCCGGTGTCACGAATGCTGTTTTTGGACGATCACCATCTGCTAAGGGCACCTGCCAATACCCCGAACGCAAATCTAACGACGAAAAAAACTCGGCACCTTGTAAGCAATTAAGGGCGTCATCAATCCTGGGCAAAGGGTATACGTCTTTGCGAGTGATCTTATTTAAGCGCCTGTAATCAACGCAGAAGCGAATTGTACCGTCCTTCTTCTTAACAAGAACGACAGGTGATGCCCATGGACTTTGGGAAGGTCGGATAACGTCGCGCTTGAGCATATCGTCGACGTGTTCGGTGATAATCTGACGTTCCGTGGCGGAAACACGGTATGGTCGCTGTCGTACTGGCGCGTTGGAACCTGTGTCGATGCAGTGGAAAAAACTGGAAGTTCGGCCAAGGGTAGGTTGAGCAACGTCAAAGGATTCACGAAACTGGTAGAGCAGCTGAAGGAGCTTGAGCGTTCAGATGGCGATAGTTCGTCGGCAATCGATGAATCGAAAAGCTCGCAAGGTGGTATATTGGAAGGGTTGAGGGCACTGATGGCGTCGTCGTCACCGGAACAATCTGGCGGCATGGTAAAAATTTGTTCTTTATCAATGGCATGCACGTGTCCAAGAGATTCACCTTGAAACAGTTCGACGGGATACGGAAGGGGATTGGTGAGGCAAAGAGCACTGTTTCCTTCAAAAATAGAGTGGGTTGAATAAGGCAGAAGAAGTGATCTTCGACTAAGGAAGAGGCTTGATGGCTCAAAGAATGCAGCTTCGTTCCTAATGCCGTCACAGAACACGGGGAGCAACACAGCTGCTGTCGGAGGAATTCCAATGCCTTCTTTGACGACGAGTTTGTGTACGGCGGGCTGAATGCGGCTGGTTGGTTGGTCGTAAAACGGGAAAAGTTCAAGCTCCGATCTTGCACAATCAATAACGGCATGGTTACGCGATAAAAAATCCCATCCAAGTATGATGTCGTGTGAGCATGACGAAAGGACAATAAACTCAACAGTGTAGTGGTCCTTCGCGATCATCAGTCGGACAGTACAGGCGGCTACAGGCTGAACCGGGTCCCCATTCGCTGTTTGCAAGGACATCATATTAAGAGGCGTCGTCACTTTTCAGAGCTTGCGGCAAAGTTTAGCGTCTATCACGGAAACGGTAGCACCAGTATCCACTAGAGCATACGCTCGAGTACCTTCTACAAAAACTTCGACAATATTCGACGTCAATGTCCGAGGACTTGAGCATTTCGACAGCGCAGTTCTTGCCATCTGAACTGCGGCGGTTAGTTTCCCTCGTGTTCAGGAGCTGGCCGACGACGCATGGGTGACAGGGAGCGACGACGGGGTGAAGGTGAGCGACCAGACATTTTACGCGGACATTCTCGTGAATACGAGCTTCACTGAGGATCAGAATTTTCCAGACGAGATGGAGGAAGGTCCATGAAGCGGTTCTGTGTCCGCGCGTCTGTGTATCCCGGCACGCGACGACGGCAGTAACGGGCAATATGGCCAGGGCCGCCGCACGCAATACAGATGGGCCGGTTATCGCACATTCTCCAAGTATTGGCGACGAGGGGAGCAGCCCATGCGGCAAACGGGTGAGTTGAGGCTGTGGTGGCAATGGGAGGAACCCAGGCGGTGGACGGCTGAGTCGGGGCTGAGGTATACGGCAGTCCCTGGAACAGTGTGGGGTGGTGTGGCTGCTGCCGCTTTAGCGCCTCAGCGTAAGTACGAGGCGCGGTGACGGGGGGCTGCTGCAAGGGCACCGGCATAGCCTCGGAAATCTGCTCCTGGACCACATGTCGGAGCGTGGGAGCCAATGGGGGTGGGTGTCGCAGTGGCTGTTGCTGCGAGAGCTCCTGGCGTTGAGCAAAAGGCAGCAGAGAAAGCTGCCGAGCCACTTCCTCTCGCACGAAGTCTTTCATTTGTGCGAGAAGGTTTCTCTGGTCAGTCATAGCGTCCAGTGCGGTCACTGGTTGGATTGTCTGGAATGAGCGTCGCATCTGAGCTCGTTGCCTCCGCAATTCATCATAGCTTTGGCACAAAGTCACTACTTCTGCCACAGTGCTAGGAGACTTCGCGAGAAGCATCTGGAAAACGTCATCGTCGACGCCCTTCATAATGTGCTGTATCTTCGCACTCTCGCTCATGGAAGCATCGGTGCGCCGTCAGAGATCGATCACATCTATATATGATGTGAAAGTTTCACCTGGCTCCTGTGCCCGTGTGCGCAGACGTTGTTCGGCGCGTAGCTTCCGTAAGGCAGGACGACCAAAAACGGCACATATTGCCTCCTTGAAGGCGGACCAATTCGCGAACTCGGTTTCGTGGTTCGTATACCACAGCTTGGCCACGTCGGTGAGATAAAAATTGACAGTGCCTAACTTAGCAGCGTCATCCCACCTGTTGGGTCCACTGACTTTCTCGTATGACGACAGCCAGTCCTCGACGTCCTGGTCTTCGGTGCCGGCAAAGATCGGGGGGGTCTCGCTGATGAACCGGGCCGGGGCAAGTAGTGGCCGCGAGAGGTATTGTTTGTTGGGCAGCGTCAACTTGCATGGTCGACGGCAGGGTGCGGGATCGGAGTTCCAGGTTGTAGGCGATGTGGTTACCCAGCACGATCCACCAAATGTAAAGAGGTTTATTGGGCGAACCAAACGGGCAGGTGGGAGATTGGAGATAGCGACAGGACGAGGAAGATGGAGGAGCTCGAGCGCCGATCTCGTGGTGCCTTACTCTGCGATGATGCTTGCTGTTCCCTTTTGTTGTCATCATTCCTTCAATATAATTGTAACTTCTTTGAAGGCCTCAAGCACAGCTCCGTGCAATGTTTCTCTACCTTGATGTCTAGCACTCAATACTTTTCAGCAAAGCCTGCACTGTTTTTCGGTATGTTGTCTTTCCCTCCGCAGCTGGACTGCACACCCTGCCCCCAGTGTCGCAACCACCACCGCACCCTGGTGGAGTGCCTCCTGGCCCGGCCCCACCTGGTATGCCTCCCAATCGGCTGCCACCGCCCGGTGAGCTGCCTACCTATAACCTTTTGCTCGTTGCCACTGTCCTTGCTGGTGGTGAAAGCATTACGTGGGTAGACGGTACCCACGTAGAACTGTTAGAAGAGCTGCCAAATTGTGAAGTTATTCTTGAACTGTCGGAGAGTCCATCGACTCGTAAGCGCAGGATTGCACAATGAGGTAAAATTATGCAACGTAGCGCACACAAACTTGTTGCGTTCCTTCTTATGATTGCGTGAATTGGGGATGAACGATTACCAGTTATCACAAAATTTTATGGCAGTACCACTAGCCCGAATCGGTGGCTACATGGTTAAATTTCGTGTTTCACTTTTTTTTCTTCTCGCTATCTGTTGTTCTTGAACAAGATATAGAAGTTAAGTCAGTTTACCAAAGTATTGCATCATTTTCGCGTTACACTAATGTGCACAACGTCGGCAGCAAGAAATGTAGCTAAGGCGGTGAACTGCGCAAAGCTACCTGTGTTCATAACATTAGTGAGAGCTTTGTAAGGAGTGCAGATTTCATGAAATCATTCTTCTCATTGTATTGGTGATGTAATAAAACCTGTGAGGCTGTGTAAGATTTGATGTAAGCGATGATTGATTGATATGTGGGGTTCAACATCCCAAAACCACCATATGATTATCAGAGATGCTGTAGTGGAGGGCTCCCAAATCAGAGCACACAGGCCTACAGCATTCCCGCCTTCATCGAAAATGCAGTCGCCACTGCCGCAATCTGATCCCGCGGCCTGCGGGAATGTAAGCAATGTACACTCAAACCTCATTGCAATGTAACGGGATATAACGAATTAATGAATATGACGAAGTAAATGGAATTCCCTTTGAAAGCTCCCTTGAAAACCATGAATTCTAAACCTCATTGTAACGAAGTAAAGTTGACAAGTAAATGAATATAATGAAATAAATTAGTTTATCAAAAAAATAAGACCATAGTGTGGTAAGTATATAGTTTTCTGCGGAGTTTGATGCTTGTTCGGCGCGCTCTTTCAAAACTACCGGGCCGACCTTACGGCCACGCCACGCGCGGCCGAGAGAGCCGTCCTCACACAGCCAGTGGAGAGGATTGAGGAAATGCTCAGCGGGTCACATGACCAAGAAGCGGTGTCGCGGTGCAAAGCGATTTCCCTCTCACGACGGCAACGACTGTCTCCGCTGCTACCCTCTGCACCGAGAAAATACTCTCCGCGACAGCTTCTCTTTTTCTTTTTTCCCTCTCCGCACGTGGCCTTGAAATGAGAAGGATCTCTACGTGCAGACACGAAAAAGGGAGAAGCGTGGCACAGGGGCGTCGCAGATCGGCATTTGAGAGCGAGCAAACAATCCGCCTCAGTCTTTTATTTTCTTTTCTTTTTTTCCTTCTTCGCAAGCAGCGTTGAGAGGTGCTTCCACGGGATTGGGCATGGTGCTGAGAGCATTTTCGCAGCGTGGTGTGTTCGAATTAACCGTCGCAAGTGCTTGCGCGTTCTAATTACAAGGCGTTTTTGCCCGTTGGAATACACATAGCTTTGACGGGACCTCAGCATGAGTTCAAATTAACCGGAAGTTCGAATTAAGTGTGTTGGAATTAGTGAGGTCCGACTGTGTTTATTTTTGGTCGCACGCGTGGTCGTGTGGCGGTACATTGGGCCGCAAGGTGGTTTCCTTCTTTGCGTGCAGATAGGCGTGCGCCCTTATGAGCACACATTGCCACAAACTGTTATAATCGATATAATGAAATAATGGATATAACAAAATAATTATGGCTCCCCTTCAACTTCGTTATAACGAGGTTTTAGTGTAATACAAATGTAAGTAATGGTAGTTCAAACTATCCTTATAATAACACATCGTTTTGGCAGTGCATGAATGTGTAGCCTTGCTGCCCTGTTGTACTGTAATGCAGCAAGTACGCTTTTCTTCCTCCTTTTTTCTTTCTCTCGCTCTGTGGTACCCCCAGTGGTACCGGCTCCTAATGTGCCCCCACCAGCTCCCCACGTGAACCCAGCATTCTTCCCACAACATGCGGGTCTGCCACCGCCGCCAACCTCTACACAGCCGTCGGACCCGTACGGCAGGCCACCTCCCACACAGTACACCCACGACTACCGTGGACCCACCAGCGACAGGTGGGTGTGTAGGGGAGGGCTGGATAGATGATAGTCACCAAGTGGTCCTTGCTCGGAGACGAATGCCTACGTGGTAACTGCTAGCAAATATAACAGATAGGCCCAACTGAGAATGAAAATCGCTTGGGCTAAATTTGTTTTGAGTGAGTTTTGTACAGTAAAAGTGCAGTACATGAAAATTTTTTGAGTGAAATATTTGCTTCTAATTAGGATCATTTCTTGCTTGGGTGCTCATTCCTATGCAACTCTCATGGCAAACGAAACTCCCTTTAAATTGAACGTATTTTTCGTGACCCCTTAGTGTTTTGTCGAGGACTCTGCCTCTGTTGCGAGCAATCTTGGCAAAGCCACAAGGCAGGTGACTCGTCAGCAGTCTGCAAATAGCACCTAAGCAAACGATGCATGTAGATGCTGGTGCAGACATGCCACTTTCAGAATGCGTCAGCACCGCCGTATCTCAAAGATGATGTTGAAAAGTCAAGGGGACTAGCTTGTGTCTTCATGGTTCATCCTGGCTGTGGTTGCACAGTGATGTTTTTTTTTCTTTTTCCTCATCAGTTTTAGTATTGAAAAATAGCTATGTTATGTAAGCCTTCTGGGATGCTTGTGCACTTGTGCTCTTCTATATCTGTGCAGTCGGAAACAGGGCTCTTTGTGCGATCTGTGATTCTGTTGTGTGTAATTTAAACTAGCGCACAAAAGTGACAACTTTTAAGTGTGTGTGTGTGTTCGTTCATTGTGCTCGTTGTTCCGCGCTGCTTCAAGTTATTCTCAAAATGGTTAGAGTCGCCCAAACCTACAAATTGTTGCTCACAGAAAATTTTGTTATACAGTAATCTCAGTAAACGAAAATGTGTGTATGCAGAGATGCAACAGCGGCGTCAATTGCGTCAATTTGATACAAGTTCCTATTGTCGCGCCGAGCTGCACCAATATCGTGAAATTTTCTGGAATTGCACCACAGTGCGTCGAAATGCCCAGCCACCCTCTGAGTCTGGCGTTGCAACTGCTAGTGTTGGCTTTATTCTTATCTAAGTGGAGTGGTTCAAGTATTACCTTTATTGAAATAGCAGTGCTCATATTCACTCGGCACAATTTGGTGGATGTTGAATGGTTTGTACATACTTTTTTTTCTGAATGTAAGCCTTTTTTTGGGCTTGTGCGATTAGTGACTTTTAGGTCTGAGGCGAATAGTGATTTTGATCGCATAATTTCGATCCGAATTCCAATGGTATGTATGACATATAAAAAAATATTCATCATGACCTAACTAACCTGCATAATATTTCTTTTAAATTGAAATGAGGGCTCTATGCAAATGCCAAAGGAAGTGGAAACAACCTTGAGTAGCAGTGTCGGTAGGATGCGAGTAATAAACTGTAAGATACTTAACGTTTTATAAGTTATTATACAGTCGATCCCGCTTATAACGAACCTGAGCGAGACGCGGCATGCGTTCGCTGTATCCCGAAGTTCGTAGTAAATGAAACACAGCTTTTAAAAAAGTTGCGAGTGAAAACGCAAACTTTTTTTGCCCCCAAAAAAGTCTGTAATGCACGTGTTTCGAAGAGCAGAAGCAATAAGGGCGGTCTCGAGTTCATTTAAGGGGGGGCGCGGCAAGTAAAGTGCCGATTTTGGTCAAAATATGCGATTTTCTGATTTATTTTTTTTCGTAATCTTCAGACCTTCAACTTCCTTGTTCTAAAATATTACAGCGAAAACGTGCGCTACAAATCCCGCAAATAGTGTTTTTGCCGAGGCTAGTCGCCGAAAAGTGCGAAAAAAAAGCCCCTGAAACGGTGTTGTTCACGCCGCACAAACGCGCTAAGTTGTTGACTGTGGGCCGCCATTTTGGTAGCTTTGGAAAGAGGAGAAAGCCGGCTTCCCGATGGTCGCGGTCTCGTATTTCGCCGAGTGAAAATATAAGCGCGAGGAGCAAGTAAAAAAAACAAAACGAAGAACGGCAATTGGCTGCGCGGGTCACGTGGTAGCAGGCGCGACCTCTTACTGGTCAAAGCTGCGCCGCGCACCTTGGCAACCTTGGAAGCGCGAGCGCATCTGCGGCCGCCGCTTTTTTTTTACCAAGCTTTGTTTACATCGGTGGTCTCTTCTGAGTGCTTGCTCATACTGCGGTGCTATGTTGTCGCAAAAAAAGTTCCGGAGCGTCCACAAGTACGGCAAGCGTCGGAAAGCTTGGAACAAAGGGCAGACGACTGCGGCTGCCGTCCCAGTCGCAGTTCCGGACGGAGCATGCTCTTCAAGCGTCACGGAGCCTCTACTCAGACCCTTCGCTGATTGTTGTGAGGCCGAGAGTGTGGAAGGTGCCACATCGTCGTATGTCAGACCGCCGGATGCCGTCGACCGTGATGGACGCTCTCGCGAACCCGATTGCGGTGGCACCGCGTCGGCAGCCGTTGCAACTCCGGGCGTGCGCGCGTCGAACATTCTATCGCGAGTTTCGGCCCAGATTCCGAGCAGTGAAGAAATCGCGCAGCGGGCGCAGACAAGGCGGGATGTTTTGGATGCCGTAGCATCGAAGTCCGCTTCAAAGCGGAAGCTCGAGCTTCTGAACGAAGGCTGCGACGAAAATGACGGCGGTAAGGACTCCACATTCTTCATTGTAAATAAGAAGATGCTGAACGGTCTGCTTTCGTCAGTAAAGTGCAACAAGTGCGACGAAGGGTCGATACGCCTCGAGACTACGCACTGCCTTGGACTCGCGGCGAGGATGGGACTTTTTTGTGACAATTGTGGCATAGTGAACAGTGCGTGGTCGTCCCCGAGGTGCTCCGGGCAACAAAAACGAACCCCTTTGAGGTAAACGTGCGTGCTTTGAGGGCTGTGCAGTCAGTTGGCAGAAAACAATCTGCCATAAATGACATTTTTTCTGCGATGGACATTTCGCATCGAGCACTGCACCACAAGTCCTACCAGAGACTGCAAAGGAAGTACAGCCACCCTGCCACCACATCAGCTGCCACCCGCATTGAAGCAGAAAGTGCACAGAAGGTGCATGACATTTACAAGGACCTAGGAGGAGTGCCAGGCAACATTGACGTCATTTACGACGGCACGTGGATGACGAGGGGGCACAGAAGTCATATTGGCGTGGGCTGTGTAATCGAGCTGTACACAGGCTTGGTCTTGGACCACTGTGTCCTGTCCAACTACTGCCAAGGCTGTGCTGTTGGCCCCAAGCCAGGTGACGACAACTATGAGGAGTGGCTTGAGAAACACAAGCCACAGTGCCAAAAGAACACCGATGCTAATGCAGGCCAAATGGAAGTAGAAGCAGCTAGGATCATGTTTGAAAGATCGTTTACCAAGTACAAGCTTTGATACATCAATGTGCTCTGCGACGGTGACAGCCGTACGTACCTTGCCCTCACGCAAGACAAGGTGTATGGCTACATGGTGATTAAGAAACAGGAGTGTGTGAACCATGTGAAAAAAAAGAATGGGCACTTCCTTGCGCAACCTTCTTGATGAGCACAAATCCAAAGGCCGAGGACTGAGCATGGGTGGCAAAGGCCGGCTGACGCAGGGCCTGATAAAGAAGTTGACGAATTATTATGGCTGGGCCATTAAGAGCCACCCCAATGATGTTCCTGGCATGGAGAGGGCCATCATGGCCACTTATTACCATGTAACATCCACAGACCAGGATCCACACCACGACCTGTGCCCAAGTGGGACTGACTCCTGGTGCCCGCACAATCAGGCATTGGCCAAGGGAGAGCCGCTGCCGCCTCACAAACATAAACTGCCCCCTCACGTGCAAGTGGCACTGCTGCCAATCTACAAGCGCCTCTCGAACAAAGAGCTCCTTGAAAGGTGTGCGCAGGGAAAAACCCAGAACGCTGTGGAGAGTATGAACAGCCTCATTTGGTCACTCCAGTCCAAGAGCCAGTTCGCGTCCCTTCGAAGTGTGGAAAGTGCAGTTGCAGATGCAGTCTGCCGTTTCAATGGTGGCTGCAAGAGTGCGCTGCAAGAGATCACTGCTCAACTGGGCTTCAATCCAGGAGACTGCTCTTTGCGGCGAGCAGCCGAAAAGGATGCCAAAAGGGTAAAGAGGGCTCAAAAGGCGCATTGTTCCACGACAAAGAAGCGCAAAACTGGGTTGCGCTCTACAGAGGCCAAGGCCACAGCATCTCAGGATTACTGCCCAGGAGGATTCTGAGTGTTTTAGGCATGTTGTGAACTTCCAAACAAGAGTGAACTTTCAAAGTCAGTTTTCTCAACTCTTGATTTTCGCCTATGTGCCTTCGCTAGAACATCTGTCATTTTCTAACAAAGACTGATAGAGTCGTTCCGTTTTTTGCACTAGGCTCAGGAGGCCTTTAGCAGTGCAATAAAGCTTTATCTCTCTTCTTACTCATCATTTAAAATTTTTAGAACACATTTTATAATTACTGCGATGTGTGCGCAAAACAACATCCATGTTTTGGAAATTTTATTTATGGTTACAAGAACTAGAAAAATCAACTAATAGCTTCTTTGCACAAGTTGATGCTTTGGGAACATAATAATATGAAAAAATAATTTCATTTAGCAATAATTATCTCTTTAAGTGTGAAGAGCATTAATTAGTATAATTATGCTTGTAACTCATAAAGTACAAAAGGTATTTGAAAACGGTTTTCATATTTGGAATCCTCACAATCATCCACATACACACACCAAATTTCATCACAAACAGTACATTAATAAAAAAATTAGTTTTACTTGCCACGTCCCCCCTTAAAATGGTAGGGTGCTCGTTCGCCGAGGCCCGTGGCATAAGCTGAATGAGGCACTGGTTCCAAAGTTTCGTCGTTCTCGCTATCAGATTCCTCCAAATCGCTCTCGCCACGTACTTCATTCACAATGCCCCAATCCGTGCACGGTTTCGCAGTGTCGGCCTCATCGTCGGCCGTAATTAAATCACCGCAACAGATGTCCCACCCGCTCTCCCAGGTCGGAGTCGACGACGCGCTGCCACAAATCGCCGCCGCAGTTCGGAAGCTTCTGGCTCGGCATCGGGCCCGACGTCGACGAAGTCGGCCTCGCGAAAAAAGTTTCGTGCGCATGTAGCCGTCACCGCCGCCCACGAAATATTCACCATCTCCACAGCTGAATACCGGGACGTCCAAAGCAGCAAGTTGGCTGCCACGTGGTTAACAGCTATGAGCAAACGCTTCGCAACGCGACATCTAACGCACGGATTACGCTCAAGCCAAGCGGTCACACTTTCGACGTTTTGTTGAGCGGCAGAAAAAAAGCGTGCTAGTCCTCCCGTCGGCCACCATGACCACACACGCACACCAAGAGCGAGCAAGACGGGCACACGTGACACACACGCCAGAACGCATGGAACAGCTCTGGACCCGTTTCCAGTCAGAAAACGAAACTAATTCGAGCCAGCGTGGTGGGCGTCGCGGAGCGGTGGACACGGGCGAGGGGGTTGTAATCAAGAGAGGAGAGCAGACTTGCGAGAGAAGGGCAAGGAGTTGCGATAAAGAGGGGAGGGATGCGGTGGGAGGGTGACCTTGAAAACCAAGACACATGGGAAGGAGGCAGGTTGGGTAGCTTGCTTGAAAGGTCCGCGAAACTCGCACATAGAAAAACTTGGATAAGTGCATGGCCGCCTGAATCGGTGCGCGCGGCGGTGTTCGAAGAATCGGCGGCCGCGGTAAAAAAAATAATTTCGTTGCACCGGCGACTTTGCGTGGCCTCACGAACTCCGATATTTCGCGATTCATTCCGCGCAAATTAACAGCCGTTCTTGCGCTTCCGCACGCGTGCGGAAGTCATGCTGAGCCTAGTGGGAAGTGGGCGAGAACAAGTCCTAAACACGAAACGAATCGCAAATTATCAGAGTCGGTGGAATAGCGTACGTGCGTGTACTAGACGCAGACTATTGGATACACTCGGTGGCCGACGATGTTGGCAAATAGTCTGGTCACTCCAGGCCGGCGATTCCAACGACAGTACCAGCAATCAAAAACAGGGTAGATGGCCGACTGGTCTTCGAAAGATCGGTGGCAGTGTGAAAACACGGGCCTCGTCTGGCGGTGCGGGGTGCTCAGAGTAGCAGGGGGACAAAGGACCGAGGGGTGCGTAACAAAAAGCGGTCAGGGAGAGCGGCAACTAGAGGGGCGCAGAGGCAGAGTCGACGTTTAACAATAAGAATGTATGGGCACCTCGCCGATGCCTGATCAGTGGTCGAAATTGGTTTCCCGGGAAGTCGACAGATTGCTGACTCTGTTCGCTGTAACCGATCAGCTGGCGCTTGGACACGTTCGCTGTAAGTGCGATTTTGTGCCATTGAACCAATGTTTATTTTCACGGTCACGCGGATATTGTTCGTTTTAAGCGAAAGTTCGTTTTAAGTGGGGCCGTTATATGTGGGCTCGACTGTACTTGGAGCATATAAGCCATCATAACAAGCTTAATAAAATGAAGCATTGACTTGGGGATAACATGTTCCTTCAAAGGTGCCCTGCAGTACTTTTCCAAGTAGCCATGGAGCCTTAAGTAAACACGCTTGTTGCCTCACAAGTTTCCCGCCACAAAGTTTCTGGAATCAGTCCAGTATGAGTGGAGTTCCAAAAATTTGTCTCACGCTGCAGTTGTATTCTCTCTTCTCGTCCCAACAAAATAGCTGGAAGCTAAGCAGGGAGGAATGGCACGGCGGAAGAAAATACGTCACACGCACCTCGTGACCTTGAGCATGTTTTGTTTTTTCTTTGAATTCGCGTCTTCTCAGTGCGATAGCAAATACTCGTGTACAAGTGGCGGCCTCCTGTGGCGGCCCCGGTAATGACAAACAAGCTTTGATAATATCTGCCAATGGCTGTGACCAGAGCGGTATACTCCTTGTTGGCTGTGACAAGTGGTTTTTGAGCCTGTATAGTGTGATTTGCCGAGGGAAGAAAGCAATTTTCAGCTTTGAAAATTTATTGTTAATCACAGGCCGCATGCTGTACTATAATATTTGCCTCGCGTGTTCTCGGTAGCCTCGACTACTGATCGGCAACGTTTTCTGACCATGCTCAGTAAATGTTGCAGGGCCCCCTTAAACTTAAAGGGGGGGGGGGGGCTTCGCACAAAGCGAATTTTTTTTAGATAGATGCGTTCACGGCTTAGCACCCCTACATTGCAGTGAAACCACCTTTGCTGGCGGACTAATATACATCTATTCGTTTATTGCGAATATGTCTTCGAAAATATATGATAATTTGAAATTCGAATCGAAGCGAATTTTAATTCTGAACTATTCGAATATTCGAAGCATTTGAATATTTGCTCAAGCCTAGTTCTTGCTCCAAATTTGGTCTTCTGTGATGAAAGATTGATGGTTTCTCTCTAACCTGCTCCAAATTTGGGGTTTAGCGCTTCAAAAGTATCATTTTGCTGCTCTAAATTCTATTTCGGCTTTTGTATCCCTGCCAGTATTGCTGTAGTTTTTTATTTTTTTTATAAAGATATAGCTGTCGTAATAAGGCATTTGGCGCTGTTTAGTATTAGAAGGGATACTTTCATATTCAGTGAACAGTTTCTATCTTGGTACTTTTCTATTTTTGCATTTAAGTGAAATTTCAATATTTGGTAGGATTATTTGCATATGTTACAGTTACAATGGCGGCGATCTCAGTAATGATTTCAAGTTATTCAATAGCAATGCTTCTGCTAAGCAAAATGCAGAATTGCAATCGACAAACTTGAGTTGCGATCGAAAGTGCACTGCACGCAATTGGGATGTCATCGTTTTTATTGTTGCCTCTGTCACTGCTGTGTCGTGGTTGTGTGTTGCTTGCTTGTTGCCTGCTTTATTTTTCTTTTGTTGCCATGTTCATTGCATCGGCTTTTGTCGTCAGTCCTGTTACGGCAATTTTTTTGATTGTTCTTCTTTGTTTTTTTTTCGTTTCCTGTGTCCTCTAGCCACCCTTATTCAGTAGATCCGAGGCAAGTAGCAAACTCTGCTTGGGGTTCATTTTTCTTTTCTCTTGGATAACCAGGTACTGTTTGAAACGCGCCTCAATTTTACTGCACAGTACGAGAAGCTTAAAATGGTGCACATGCTCATGCTGTTTAATTTGTTCATGTCGCTGTTTCTCTTATTGCTTACGGTTTAGGGGAACAACAGTGGTTCGATAGCAGAGGGTCAATAATTTGGACGTTGATGAAAGGAAGGTGCCTTACCTGTTTTAATCAAAAGTGATGCTTAGAAATTGATTTAGTGGCTGTAAGTGGCAGCTGGAGTAGGCTGCAGTGGTCTTTTTTATTTACTCTTTGAACAGAAAGGTACACCTGCTCAAACCTCTGTTAAAGGCATCGAAGAGGTGAACGTGTACAGTTGCCCAATGTGTGAGGCCATCAGTGTAGCAGACACATCAAACGCTAAAAAACATTGAAGGAATATTAACCGCACGTTAAGGGGAGACACGGGTCTCAAAGGCCGAAAAATTTTCGGGCAATCGATTTTCTGAAGTATATTTTTTAATAATGTATAGGGTCTGAAGAAGGTGTTTCGAAAATGCTATTGCCATGTAATGCGTATTTGTCGAGTAATTCGGTCTCAAAGTCAGTTTCGTGACCATTTCCACCCGCGAAACCACTTCAAAAACGGTCATATTCAACGCTGCGGTGCCCGAGAGCTACCAGGCAGCGCGGCCATTTTGGTCTCGTTTAAAGCCGTATTCTTTCGTCTGTTCCTAGCGGAAGAACGCTTTTCGTCCAGCAACAACGCAGTTATCGCAAATGAAGAAAAATTAAATTCTCGCACATCATTGGTGCGTTTCTATCACGTGGGGCAGTTCCCGGTTTCCTATTGGATGTCAAGGGATCCGTCTGCAATCCACCATTTTATGACGAGGCCTAAGCGGCGGCTGTGCAATGGGTGTTGCTGTGCAATGGGTGTTGCTGTGCAATGGGTGTGGCTGTGCAATGGGTGTGGCTGCGCAATGGGTGTGGCTGCGCAATGGGTGTGACGGCAGGTGGTCATTGAAAGTTTCATACTGCTCATGCGTTCGAAAAGAAGCGATAAAACACAGAAAAAGCTGGCTGTGCCAACGCTATCACAAACGCCGCTCCTGCGATCACGGATGCCATAGCCGGGGCCAACGATCACACACCAGACCTGCGCGTACGAGGCTGTACAAGGCCATTGCCCACAGTATCTGTTGATCTAGTAGTTGGATTTTGATAATTTTTGCAGCATTTGAAAGCTTATACATTGATGAGTGCAACAAGACCAAAAAATTATGACAATTTCATTAAGAGCAGTGGTTTAATTAGCGATATAAATAAGCAGCCGTTTTAATTAAGCAACTCTTGAACCAATGAAGCTAGAAATAAAATTGTAGTTTTCTTGCACTCCCTGTTCTTTATAGAACACTGTCATATCTAATTTGTAGCAATCTTTTATGAGAAAGCAGTCTAAACAGTGGGCAGAATGTAAGTTTTTGGAACATTCACTATTTGAAAATCTGGAAGTCACAGCTGAAAACTAATTGCATATTTGCTTTCAGTTGTGAGAATTGCATATCACATAAAAATTTGAGCTCTAAATACTTAAAATTTCAAAAAAATGTTTAAGATCAGTGTCTCCCCTTAAATTTTCTTAGTAGTCGTGGGCCTGCTTTTGTGTTCAGGTCACTTATTTGCAGAGAACATAGCTATGGGAGTGCAAGTGCTTGTAAGCCATGACGAATGGGGGTTATTTTACAGACTACTTTATGTGGCTAGTCATAACATTGCCAGCTGAGCTATACGAAAGGGTAGTGGCCTCACCAAAAGCTGTGCTCTCATTATAGGCGACAGTCAGCAGTTGCAAGGCAGATCATCCACCTCAGCGCTATCTACATTAGGCACTTGGTGTGCATTCTTAATGCCTGCATACTATTTGTACTGCATTAGAGGGACTTCATGTGACTTCATTTTATTATGCTGTAATAGGCTTGTGGAAATTAGGCACTGGGCAGTGTTCAATATGTGTCACATATTGGGAAATGCAAACATGCTCTGCTCTAACCAGCTGTATTATAGATCTTCTAGATAATCAAAAGGAGTGTCAGTAGAAGATTGCCAGAATGTTGACGGTTTTCTTTTTTTAGAAAGGGGCATTTTGCAAATGAAAACCTATCAGTTATACTACTGCCTGTAGAAATGCAGGAAGACAGTAATTTGTATTCATTGACAATCACTATGAGCATACATTATAGAACTGTGAAGTATTGCATTGTTCTTAAAAAAAACAGGTGCAGTACCATGTTTTTTTTTTTTTTTTTCGGTAGAGGTGTCTTGCATGGTATGGCACCGTAGGCATGCATGCGTGTTTTTATAGACTACAACTGTGCGTTTTACAATTTTTTTTTTTTGTGATAGTTGACATTCTCAAGTTCTGTTTTTTTTTTGTTTCGGTTCTTCCATAACAGGAGTATGTTGCCTGCATCATCATCTATGCCCTCCAGGTACTCAAATTTATGGACTCAAAACATTGTGGAATGGGGTTGTTTGTTGCACTTTGGTTGACTGATTCGGTGCTTTTACTCTTTCTGTTTAATTTTCAACCCTCCACACTCATGTAGTGTGGTGAACTTCATTAATTTGATGTTTAAAAGATGCTACTAACACTGTGGCTCACTACGGGGTTTTATGTGCAAACACCAGAAGGAATGGACGTGTATTATAAACTCAACTGAAAGCTCGCAAGGCAAAGATTCATAAGATCCGCATTATTTAATTGCGCTTGGTTAGTCTTGTCTAGGTACAGTATTACTAATAGTAGCGTTATGTTACTATCAATTCATAGCTATTTTTCTGCCAGTGTTTGCCTCTGAGCATGCCAGCATGTGTAACGTTGGCTTTTAAAAGCAGCTGAGTTGGTTGTGATTTGTCAACGGTGTTGTACCTGCACTCTGCTTCAGTTGTTCCTTCAGCTGTGATGTACAACAGAATAGACAGTTTAGTCTTGCCTAGGTGCATTATTTCTGATAGTAGTGATATGTTACGCTGAATTCATAGCTAATTTTCTGCCAGTGTTTGTCTCGGAGCATGCCAGCATGTGTAACAATAGCTTTTGAAAGCAGCTTAGTTGGTTGTGATTTGTCAACGGTGTTGTACCTCTGCTCTGCTTCAGATGTTCTTTAGCTGTACATCAACAGAATAGACAGTTATAGTTTACAAGGCTTAGCGGGATAGCGGGCTTACAGGGATAGCAGGATTGAAGTGCACATGCGCAGGAACATACGAGACATATACTGCTCACCGTACGCACGCTATTTTTCAGATGTAGTGTTACTGTGTTAGTGCGGTTTATGCGGTGTATGTAAAACATGGCGGCAGTTTCGGACGCCCGTTTGAAATGATTTTGGCATAGTTGTTCCTTCGCTGCAGTAAACAACTTTAAAATGGCTTCGCTTGCCTTCAGTTCTCTTTGATGTCCTAGTATTATGGATAAGTTAGTGTAGTTTTTGAGGTAGCTTCCCATTTTGAATGTCTTTTAGGCCTAACAGAAGGTCGATGTAAACAAATCGGCAACATTAATGTTTTCGTGTTTTGGGCATGTTTCGTATTTACATATATTATTACTGAAAAGAACTTAATTGCTTTGTGTGATGGCACAGGCAAACTTTCTTGCTTTCTTTTTCTTTTCACTGTTCTTCAACCTATTTGTCCTCAGATAGGTGGTGCCACTGTATCAGCCAGGGCACTTAAACCACGTAAACGCTGTACCGCTAAACCCTAAGGCGCTGTCCACAACGAACACAAAACTGTGTATACTTCAGTGGTGTCGAATTTTCGTTAATTTGGGGAGGTTTAGGCACCCACTGAATTACTTGGGACAACTCAGGAGAGGGCTGTTGGAACTCAGTGCTTTGAGTAGCGTAATATCAGCGGGCTCTCGGCGGCTTGGAGGCTCAAGCACTGCTTGCTGTAACCGACGGTGGAACCAGAGTTCTGGAGAAACCGAACATGCACTCCGGAATTCGGTCAACTCGGACATTTTTGTTAGTTTTGTGAGATCCGGGTTAATGAGCTTCGAGGTTTCACTGCACATATGTCTCAGAAAGAAAGCTTCTCAGTTGCCAAAAAAGATTTTTGCCAATAGAACTGAGTACCGATATCTCTCCAGGCTGTACCAATTGAGCTAACCAGGTATCTAAAAATTGGCAGCACGGGAGTGAACTAATTGACATCTTAAAGCCTGTGGACACAGAATACTGCTATCGATTTGAAGTTCATGATATTCGCACAGCGCTAATTTCAAAAAAGTTTTTTTTTTTTTTTTCCTATTGAAGGAAAGTTGATGAACCCCCTTATAAAAGACGTGCGCTAGAGAGCAATTTTTTTCCTTTACATGAGGTGTCTCTTATAAGCAGTAACGCAACGATAGGCGGTGCCTGGAAGTAAACCTTCTTTTTGCTTTAGTAACTACATCTGGAATAGGTAAGTCTAGTGCCTTGTTGTGAGGGAGTTAAAATTGAGGGCTTCAACGCATGCAACGTCAAGCCGTGACTCGCAGCATGGCAGTAGAAGTGATAATGGCTTGTTTAACCCATTTTTATTTTACATACTGTAGGGTTGCGAACTACCGTTTTACAGGCTCCATTGACCATAGTTTCCTTGTACTATATTATGCAGTTTCAGTATGCAGCTGCCAACTCTGAAAAAAAGAAAAAACGGGAAAACAACAATTTTAGGTGTTAAGAAATGTCTTGTATAATTTTAAAACACATCATCATATACAATATGTTTATTGTGTGCTCATCACATTGGCAATTTGATTTTGTTAGCCCATTCTAAGGTTTAAGCTTGACCCCTGTTCCACTGCGTGTGCTTTTTGTGCCATGTATACAATCCAGTCGAATATCTTTAACTGTCATTGGCAACTCAAGAAATCTGTGTTCCAGACACTGTGTTCCACAGTGAGAAAAGGTGACTTTTGTGTCAGATTTCAGCAGGACTGAAAGATTTGGGCTAGGCTCATGTCTCTGAAAGATGAGGGAAGAAATACTGCTTAGTGGCACTCACTATAATTGCAGATTTTGTATTTTTTTGCCAGGGGAAGCGAACTAATGTCCATGTGTTGGGGAAGTACACTCGGAGTTATTATAATGAAGCTGCTTCTTACACGAAAATAGGTTCATTATATTCGAAAATTCATTATAAAGGTATATTCTTGATATTATGCTTATTTCAAGACTATTCATTTACTTCGTTATAAGCGGTATTTTGTTAAATCTATGTATGACTGTACTTGGAAGTCTAGAGGAAGTACACAAGGCCCTGAATTTTGTAAAGCTCCGGGGTTTCTTTCTTTCTTTTTCGCACTGTGCTTACAAAAAGCGGTGTGGGTGGATTGTGGCGTCTCTTGTGAAGCATGCTGTCTTGTCTTGCGTCGCACTCTTTCAGGCACAGTAGAGAGCAGCATGACAAGCGTGACATGAAGAAACAAGGATTTTTGGGCAACAAGTAATCTATGCATGCAGCTGCTTTCCTCCCGCTTACTCACTAACCTGGCTTTATATCACTACTAACCGCATGCTCGCGCAGTTCCACAGGGCTTGCATTGTAGTGGTTTGATATATGCATTGAACAGAAGCAACGTAGTAATGTTCGGTTCTCTTAGCACTTTGTTTATGATGCGCATTCCCAAGTGATGTTTTCTGAACTTGAGCTCATTCCATGTTTGTATCAGTGTTGTACCAAAATGTCACAAAAATGTAAGTTCTGTTTGTGATAGAGTTATGAGAAATTTGTTTTTCTTCGTGAGCGAAGGCCCCGTTCGATTGCTTCTTATTTAGTTAATCAGCGCTGCCGAAGTAGGTCTCTGTGTCAAATTCGTTTTTTTTAGAGATGTTTGCTTTGTACAGTGCTCAGCAATTAAAATGTGGTACCGTGAAGTGTGGCTGTGGGACTAAACTGAGTCAGAGAGTCCAACCAACCATGAAACAAAGAGTCACAAAGGCTCTTGGTTTTATGGTATAATATAGCTCCTTAGTGGCATAAAGGAAAAAATCACTAGCCACATTCTTTTGGTGTTGTACTTAATTGTTTAGCACTGTGCACGCATGCATGCCTAATTTGTGTGCATGTGTCACATACAATGCTGTAACGTGCGTGGAAGATAGGCTCAAACAGACTGCTTCTTGATTGCACTCATATTTGTGTGGGAATCTTGATACCATGCTGCCATTATGAAGCACCATTGCTACGGGCAGCGAATTGCTCAGTGTAAGCTGCTCCTCGACCCTCACATTCTTCGCAAGCGCATTAGTGATTGCAATTCGTCCACTGTTGAAACCTTGAAAAAATTCAAGTCACAGAAAAGGGACCACGCATAGACATGTTATATTTGCCTAAAGCGACAAGAAACATGTACTAACTATGTACTAACCACAAGACAGGGAAACTGACGAACATAATTTTACAACCCCCGCTGCAATGTCTGTGCTTGGTTATGGTGAGCGTATTACAGTCGAACCTACAAGGAAACGGACGGGGCGCTAAAAAAGTTTTGTTGTAGGGAAATTAAGCAAAAAATGACCACTGACCACTGACCGACCACACTGGCCAAGCGCAAAAACAATCAAAAGCATGTAATTAATTATGTGAGCCTGAATTTCATCATCAAATTTAGTTGAAGCGGAACGGCAAAATATAAAGTGTTTCGTTGCGAGAATATTTATGCTTTGATTTTTATGGACAGCTGATGAGGAATCGAGAATTTTTCGGACTGTAGTGGAAATTTCATTGAAGCGACGTAATTAAACATGCGAGCCTGGAATTGCATCGTCAAATTTAGTTGAAGCGAAACTGCAAAATAAAAAGTATTTCGTGGCGAGCATACTTGTCGTTAGTCTTAAGGACAGCTAACGAGGAAACGAGAATTTTCGTGATCGTAGGGAAAATTTTGTTGAAGCGGTGTTCATTGTAGTGGGGTTTGCCTGTACTCGAACTTTTATCATGTGCAACTTATGGTGTGTTAAAGTTATCTAGTTTTGACACATTTTGCCCGTCCGTGCAAAGTGTGTACTAACTGCGAATTAGCAGGATTGTCCCATCACTCATCCACAAATTTTTTACTTGCAGGCAAGACCCACTGAATCCTGCCATCAATGAGTCCGAGTTTGAAGAAATCATGTCCAGAAACAGGACAGTGTCGAGCAGTGCCATTGCCCGTGCCGTGGCTGATGCCAGCACAGGCAAGTGCTTCAAGCCTTGGCAATTGCTTTGTGCCGTTAGACCGCTGTTGAAATTACGAGTGTGCGTGTGTGGGTTAAACATACGTGGAAGTGCTAGGTAATGTTTGAATGTTAATTAGGGGATTTCCCTCACATCAAAGAAATCTCATTATTTGACACTTGCCTGGTGTATATGCACTTTAGTTGGAAAGCGTGCACTGCTATGAGCCTCATTGTACCTGTGCAGGTGTAGGTCTGTGTGTTTGCCACGCATTTCTGTGTTTTTAGCTTGTATAGCTCTGCTTAGCTTGTTCTGTACCTGGGCAGCAAAAGGGAACATTAAAAATCTAATAAATGATTAGTGTTTGAGTAGTGAAAAAACAAGATTGTTTTTGCTGGTTTGGGGGTGGGCAAAATGCTCGAACCTCTGGACGCGCATGTGGCGTCGCGCTTCGAGAACATTCAACAGCTGACAGTGCATGCGCCGTCACGCTGTATATATACTCAAGGTCGGCGCTCGCTCGCTCAGTTGCCGCTCGTCGGTTGGTTTGTACGGCGCGTCGACGTCCAAGGTCGCGGTGAAATGAATTCCAACGAATCCACAAACACAATGATCGACGTCCCTTCGACCAGCGCCGCCCTTTCGCATACGTGTGTACGTGTTCACTCATTTAACACCCCCTCCTACAACCACGTTAACCAATTTAGCCATCGATCCAAGTAAGTCGCAATTTAACACCCCATTTCACAACCACGTTAACCAATTTAGCCATCGACCCAAGTAAGTCGCACTTTAACACCCCGTTAACCAATTTATATGCTCCGCATCCTCCTCAGTGTTCCCCCCGAGGGAAGCTGCAGGCAATTTTTTTTGACAGTGCTGGTTTTGCGCTTGTCTCGTTGCAGGTGAATTTGCCAGTGCCATCGAGACCCTTGTGACAGCTATTTCACTCATCAAGCAGTCCAAGGTGGCTAACGATGACCGCTGCAAGATTCTCATTAGCTCTCTGCAGGACACCCTGCACGGGATTGAGTCTAAATCCTACAGCACACGGTGAGCAGCACTCAAACCTGCATTTCACAACTTTCACTGTTTTACTGTTCGAAAAAAATTTTAGTGTCCTTCCTTCTTTATATCTGGTGCATAATAGATACAGAGCATACATATGTAAATTTCCGCATGAAAGTTTTGGTTTGGTTTCTTTCTGAAGTTTTCAGGTTGTGCAATTACAGCTGGTTGATTCACTTATCAGCTTGTGTGATCCCCATTGACGTCGTAGCAAGTGCCAGAACTTTTGTACATTTTTATCTTTGAAATTGGCCTGTCCCTTTTCATGTCACTCCAGTGGCAATGTGACATTTATTGAACAAATGTCGCACCACGATAAGAACACCCATTTCAGGCCTGTTCCTGGAACATCGAGTGAATTCGGTTGTGCCCAATTCAAATGTGCCCTCTGTTCATAAAGAACACAGTTGAGCCCACTTATGATGATAATCAAGTGCCATGAAAATTTCGTCATAAGCTGCAATTGTAACTGGGTTAAGCAACTTCTTTTACTATGCATATATATTGCTTTCCTTTTACATAACCACCGCGCAGTGGCTGTTCTTAGTTGCATCTAATATAGCATTAAAAATGGCATGGTTGTACACTTAGCCTGTTCATAACGAACCTGAGCGTGACACGGCATTCGTTCACTGTATCCCAAATTACATTGTAAATGAAACCCAGCTTTAAAGCAGCTGCATGTGACAACAAATTTTTAGTTTTTTTAGCAAAAAAGTTTTTGATTGATTGATATGTGGGGTTTAACGTCCCAAAACCACTATGAGAGACGCCCAAAAAAGTTTTTTCATCCTTTATGCGTCTGTTCCATAGAGCAGAAGCGATTGGGGTGGTCTCGAGTTTGTTTAAGGGGGGGCGCGGCAAGTAAAGTGCCGATTTTGGTCAAAATATGCGATTTTCTGATTTATTTTTTTTTCGTAATCATCAGACCTTCAACTTCCTTGTTCTAAAATATTACAGCGAAACGTGCGCTACAAATCCCACAAATAGTGTTTTTGCCGAGGCTAGTCGCCGAAAAGTGCGAAAAAAAAGCCCCTGAAACGATGTTGTTCACGCCGCACAAACGCCCCAAGTTGTTGACCGTGGGCCGCCATTTTGGTAGCTTTGGAAAGAGGAGAAAGCCGGCTTATCGATGGTCGCGGTCTCGTTTTTCGCCGAGCGAAAATAAAAGCGCGAGGAGCAAGTAAAAAAACGAAAACGAAGAACGGCAATTGGCTGCGCGGGTCACGTGGTAGCAGGCGCGACCTCTTACTGGTCAAAGCTATTGCCGCGAGCGTAATAACAGACAGCGACGAAACGACGTCTTGCTTCCCCTCAGACCAGGACGCAAAAGCCCTCTTCTTTCTTCACTTCAAAGGGATTCCGCCTCTAGTTGATGGCTCATACCCATTACCTGTGACATTACTCCCTCTCCTCGAAAAGCATCGGCTCGATGCTGGTAATGAATGATGAGAAAAAAAAAAGAGAGAAAGAAAAGATGCTACCATGGAACCCAACGACTCCGTCGTAAGGGAGAAAAAAAAAAGGGCTGGCGTCCTAGAAGTACTCAATAAAGAAAGGAGTAAGTACACAAGACAATAAAAAAAACCAAAGCGACAAAAAATAGTCATTGGATGGTAAGTTAGTCCACGTTCGATGGATGACGCGAGAAATATGGCTTGAGTCTTGACACGTGCACCACATCACTTTGTGGAAACAGACGGGAACGTCTTGAGGCGCCCTCAGGGAGAACTTCATACGTAACGTCACTGAGTCGGCGCAGAACTTTGTAAGGGCCGAAGTAGCGCCGAAGCAACTTTTCAGAGTGACCCACGCTGTCGGATGGGAGGTCCACACCCAAACTTCATCGCCTGGTTGGAAGGTAACCTCTCGGTGTGTAAGGTTGTAGCGGTGTGCGTCGGCAGTTTGGCGAGCCTGAATACGGCATCGGGCGAGTTGACGGGCCTCCTCGGCGCGTTGAGCGAACAATGCAGCGTCCGTGTTGAACATGCTCAAGTGGTTGGGAAGGAGCATTGCGTCGAGCATTGTGGTGACCTCTCGACCATGAACAAAGCGAAATGGGGTGAAACCTGTACTCTCTTGGACTGCTGTATTGTAAGCAAAAGTTACGTAAGGGAGTATATCATCCCAGTTCTTGTGATCAACGGCCACATACATTGACAGCATATCTGCAATGGTCTTGTTTAACCGTTCAGTGAGCCCATTTGTTTGGGGGTGATAACCCGTGGTTTTCCGATGTTCTGTACCACTGTAGTCTCAGCACTTCTCGGCGATGGACATTTCGCATCGAGCACTGCACCACAAGTCCTACCAGAGACTGCAGAGGAAGTACAGCCACCCTGCCACCACATCAGCTGCCACCCGCATTGAAGCAGAAAGTGCACAGAAGGTGCATGGCATTTACAAGGACCTAGGAGGAGTGCCAGGCAACATTGACGTCATTTACGACGGCACGTGGATGACGAGGGGGCACAGAAGTCATATTGGCGTGGGCTGTGTAATCGAGCTGTACACAGGCTTGGTCTTGGACCACTGTGTCCTGTCCAACTACTGCCAAGGCTGTGCTGTTGGCCCCAAGCCTGGTGACGACAACTATGAGGAGTGGCTTGAGAAACACAAGCCACAGTGCCAAAAGAACACCGATGCTAATGCAGGCCAAATGGAAGTAGAAGCAGCTAGGATCATGTTTGAAAGATCGTTTACCAAGTACAAGCTTCGATACATCAATGTGCTCTGCGACGGTGACAGCCGTACGTACCTTGCCCTCACGCAAGACAAGGTGTATGGCTACATGGTGATTAAGAAACAGGAGTGTGTGAACCATGTGAAAAAAAGAATGGGCACTTCCTTGCGCAACCTTCTTGATGAGCACAAATCCAAAGGCCGAGGACTGAGCATGGGTGGCAAAGGCCGGCTGACGCAGGGCCTGATAAAGAAGTTGACGAATTATTATGGCTGGGCCATTAAGAGCCACCCCAACGATGTTCCTGGCATGGAGAGGGCCATCATGGCCACTTATTACCATGTAACATCCACAGACCAGGATCCACACCACGACCTGTGCCCAAACGGGACTGACTCCTGGTGCCAGCACAATCAGGCATTGGCCAAGGGAGAGCCGCTGCCGCCTCACAAACATAAACTGCCCCCTCACGTGCGAGTGGCACTGCTGCCAATCTACAAGCGCCTCTCGAACAAAGAGCTCCTTGAAAGGTGTGCGCAGGGAAAAACCCAGAACACTGTGGAGAGTATGAACAGCCTCATTTGGTTACTCCAGTCCAAGAGCCAGTTCGCCTCCCTTCGAAGTGTGGAAAGTGCAGTTGCAGATGCAGTCTGCCGTTTCAATGGTGGCTGCAAAAGTGCGCTGCAAGAGATCACTGCTCAACTGGGCTTCAATCCAGGAGACTGCTCTTTGCGGCGAGCAGCCGAAAAGGATGCCAAAAGGGTAAAGAGGGCTCAAAAGGCGCATTGTTCCACGACAAAGAAGCGCAAAACTGGGTTGCGCTCTACAGAGGCCAAGGCCACAGCATCTCAGGATTACTGCCCAGGAGGATTCTGAGTGTTTTAGGCATGTTGTGAACTTCCAAACAAGAGTGAACTTTCAAAGTCAGTTTTCTCAACTCTTGATTTTCGCCTATGTGCCTTCGCTAGAACACCTGTCATTTTCTAACAAAGACTGATAGAGTCGTTCCGTTTTTTGCACTAGGCTCAGGAGGCCTTTAGCAGTGCAATAAAGCTTTATCTCTCTTCTTACTCATCATTTAAAATTTTTAGAACACATTTTATAATTACTGCGATGTGTGCGCAAAACAACATCCATGTTTTGGAAATTTTATTTATGGTTACAAGAACTAGAAAAATCAACTAATAGCTTCTTTGCACAAGTTGATGCTTTGGGAACATAATAATATGAAAAAATAATTTCATTTAGCAATAATTATCTCTTTAAGTGTGAAGAGCATTAATTAGTATAATTATGCTTGTAACTCAAAAAGTACAAGAGGTATTTGAAAACGGTTTTCATATTTGGAATCCTCACAATCATCCACATACACACACCAAATTTCATCACAAACAGTACATTAATAAAAAAATTAGTTTTACTTGCCACGTCCTTCCTTAAAGCAACAGCGTTCTCTTCAATAAGGCCATTGGCATAAACAAGCTGCCTGAGGCTAATAATGTAGCCAATTGCTACAGGCATGCTTGTGGTCTCTGAATTCAAAGTTTTGTCATCGTCATCATTCGATTCCTCTAAATCGCTCTTGCCACGTCCCTTATTCACAATGCCATCATTTGTGCACGGTTCTGAAGTTCCGCCATTATCGGCCATGATGAAATCATCCCAGCTGCATTTCCGCTGTCCTATGGAAACGACGATGCATTGCCACAAATTGCCGTCGAAGCGGTCCTGCTCGGAAGCTTCAGGCTCGGCATCGGGTCCGATGCCAACAGTCGGCCTCGCAAAAACAGTTGCGCACACACGTAGCTGTTGACTTTGCTCACGAAGCTTTCACCATCTCAACAGTTGAATACAGGGACACCCTGCGAGGCAAGATGGCTGCCAGGCTATGAACAACTATGAGGAAGTGCTCCACAACCTAGCACCTATATGGAATATATATATATATATATATATATATACATACACACATACATACATACATACGTACACGCACAGATCACGCCCAAGCCAAATGGTTGCATTTTCCATTTGACGTTCTGTTCAGCGGCTGAAAAAGGCACGGAAGGTCTTCCGCCCACCATCCTGACCACACATGCACACCAGCAGCGAGCAAGATGCGCACACGGGTCATACAAGCCAGGACGCATGGAACTGCTCTAGGCTTGTTTCTAACCAGGAAAAGAAACTTCTTAATACAAGCCAGTGTGGCTGGCGTCGCAGAGCGGTAAAGACGGTCGAAGGAATGATGATAAAGAAGGGAGAAAGACTTGCAAGAGACAGGCGAAGGAGCTGCAGAGCGAAGAGAGGGAAGCATCAGCGGGAAGGCGATTTTGGAAACCAAAACATACATGAAGAAGGCATGTCGGGTAGCTTGCTTGAAAGGTTGACCAAATGAGCAACTCGCGTGTTGGAAAACTGTGGAGAGCGGCCTGTGCACGCTGAGGTCAAAAAATTGCATTGGGGTGTCGGTGGGCTTGCCGACTTCATTATTCGCGATTAGTTCCCTGAAACTGCTGTTTTCACGCTTACACATGCGTACGGAGGGCATGTTTAGTGGTCTGCGAAGTGAGCGAGAACAGGCCCTAAACACCGATTGAATCGTGAGTGATCAAAGTCAGTCGGGCAGCGCAAACGCGTGCACTGAATCGATATTACACCGATACAGACGAGACCCAGGCGATCAGGTACAGTTAGCGGCCGACAATGTTGGCACGACTCTAGGCCAGTGACGCCAATCATGGCGTAATAATTTCAGGGATCAAAACTGAGGGGAGACTGGTCATTCAACCGCTCTTTGGAAGATTGGTGGCAGTGTGAAAACAATGGCCTCGTTTTACGATGTGGGGTGCTCAGAGTAGTGGTGGGACAAAGAATGGAGTGGCAAAAAACGGTTGGGAAGAGTGACAGCTAGAGGGCTATGGAGGTGCAGTGATGGAAGTGCTGCTCCAGTTGCTCCAAACTGCTCTGAAAGTCGCATGTCAATGGCATCGTTGCGGTCGTCGTGCAAGGTTGCTGCGAAGTTGGCAAAATGTGCTGTAGTGTTGTAGCGCACGCTTCTGAACGCCTCTCGAAAATCAGAGCATATACCACTGTTGTGGTTAAACGATAGCAAGATAGCCGCGAAACGCTTTTATGGCGGTGCGCAGGCGGCTCGGGGACAGCTTGCAGAAAATAAAGCCATGAACCACCGAAGAGCAACGAAGAAGCTGTTAATAAACAGAGTACGCATATGTCAATTGCGAAAGGCTAAGTGACCTATTTTTTTTAAGTTCTATATATTGCTCATCTTCAAAAGGTTTTTATAAAGTTTGGCCAGCATAATAAATGCATCCCCAACTTTGCTTCGATTTTTTGATAAAGTGAGTGTGTTCATTACGCTTGTAAATACAGTAATTTTGCCGGTACTACCAGGCAATCCAACAGCATTTTCTGGCTTCTGTTCTGCCATTCAATGTGAAGGAGCCATAATGTGTTGTTTTTCCGCTACTTTGTGAAAGTCTCGTGAATTCCAAAACGCTGTTGTGAGACTCTGCTGTTTTCACTTGCGCAGAAGTAAGGACCGCCCCAGGTCCAGAGAGAGGGACCGGTCACGAGAGCGGTCGTCCCGTCGAGAGAAGTCGAGCAGGCGTGACCGGTCGCGTAGCCGTGAGCGGGACTACAGAGACCGGAGCCGTGAAAGGGACCGCTACCATGAGGACCGTTACCGGGACAAGGAGAGGGAGCACAGGAGCCGCCACTGAGCTGACCGGCGTAGTTTTCCACAAGGTACGTAGCCTCTGCCGGGCCGGTTTGTTGGAAAAAATCATGACAATGTCTACAGTAGTTCTGTATGATCCTATCTACACTCGATAAAAGGTACCTTTCATTTCTTAGCAAGAGGGTCAGGATTTCAGTTTTTATAACCTCTTACATATTTGGATTCAGATACACAACTACCATGACAACCCAGAATCAGCTCAACGATTTGCTGTTCTGTGTGCACCTCTACGTGCTTTTGTAGATGGTACTGCTTGTGGAAATAGGCTTTGCGAATTATTCCCAGCATCAACTGCATCAACTCTGTCGAACTGTGGTGCGCGTAAAGTTTATTTGTTTGTGGCAGCATGGAGATGTTTAATTTGCTTGCACAACTCAACATGTCTTTCTTGTTCCTCTTTGAGCAGCATGGAGCACGTACACTCATCATTTTGACTTTGTTTGTTTTTTTTTTTTTTGCAGAATGGCAAAGTCATCCTGTGGAGCAAGTGTATTTTTGTATTCCCGGGTAGCCACACCAACATTGCATTGTTTTCTGTCTGGTTGTACTGTGAAGTGTCATTAAACAAGAAGTGAAATGACACTGCTTGGTATGCACAAATATGTTTTATTAGACAAACAACACAAACAACTAAAATCTAAAGGTGGCTTGTTGGACAAAGTGCTTGTCTGAACACTCACTGGTTTAAGAGCAAAAAGCACAAACTACGATTAAGGGGGGGCGCGGCAAGTAAAGTGCCGATTTTGGTCAAAATATGCGATTTTCTGATTTATTTTTTTTCGTAATCTTCAGACCTTCAACTTCCTTGTTCTAAAATATTACAGCGAAACGTGCGCTACAAATCCCGCAAATAGTGTTTTTGCCGAGGCTAGTCGCCGAAAAGTGCGAAAAAAAAGCCCCTGAAACGGTGTTGTTCACGCCGCACAAACGCGCCAAGTTGTTGACCGTGGGCCGCCATTTTGGTAGCTTTGGAAAGAGGAGAAAGCCGGCTTCCCGATGGTCGCGGTCTCGTATTTCGCCGAGTGAAAATAAAAGCGCGAGGAGCAAGTAAAAAAAACGAAAACGAAGAACGGCAATTGGCTGCGCGGGTCACGTGGTAGCAGGCGCGACCTCTTACTGGTCAAAGCTGCGCCGCGCACCTTGGCAACCTTGCAAGCGCGAGCGCATCTGCGGCCGCCGTGTCGAGAATCATCCGGCGTGCGCTTCGTTTTTTGCCAGTTTGCTGTTTTTGTGATAGTTCGCGTGCTTTTTTTACCAAGCTTTGTTTACATCGGTGGTCTCTTCTGAGTGCTTGCTCATACTGCGGTGCTATGTTGCCGCAAAAAAAGTTCCGGAGCGTCCACAAGTACGGCAAGCGTCGGAAAGCTTGGAACAAAGGGCAGACGACTGCGGCTGCCGTCCCAGTCGCAGTTCCGGACGGAGCATGCTCTTCAAGCGTCACGGAGCCTCTACTCAGACCCTTCGCTGATTGTTGTGAGGCCGAGAGTGTGGAAGGTGCCACATCGTCGTATGTCAGACCGCCGGATGCCGTCGACCGTGATGGACGCTCTCGCGAACCCGATTGCGGTGGCACCGCGTCGGCAGCCGTTGCAACTCCGGGCGTGCGCGCGTCGAACATTCTATCGCGAGTTTCGGCCCAGATTCCGAGCAGTGAAGAAATCGCGCAGCGGGCGCAGACAAGGCGGGATGTTTTGGATGCCGTAGCATCGAAGTCCGCTTCAAAGCGGAAGCTCGAGCTTCTGAACGAAGGCTGCGACGAAAATGACGGCGGTAAGGACTCCACATTCTTCATTGTAAATAAGAAGATGCTGAACGGTCTGCTTTCGTCAGTAAAGTGCAACAAGTGCGACGAAGGGTCGATACGCCTCGAGACTACGCACTGCCTTGGACTCGCGGCGGGGATGGAACTTTTTTGTGACAATTGTGGCAGAGTGAACAGTGCGTGGTCGTCCCCGAGGTGCTCCGGGCAACAAAAAACGAACCCCTTTGAGGTAAACGTGCGTGTTTTGAGGGCTGTGCAGTCAGTTGGCAGAAAACAATCTGCCATAAATGACATTTTTTCTGCGATGGACATTTCGCATCGAGCACTGCACCACAAGTCCTACCAGAGACTGCAAAGGAAGTACAGCCACCCTGCCACCACATCAGCTGCCACCCGCATTGAAGCAGAAAGTGCACAGAAGGTGCATGACATTTACAAGGACCTAGGAGGAGTGCCAGGCAACATTGACGTCATTGAGGACGGCACGTGGATGACGAGGGGGCACAGAAGTCATATTGGCGTGGGCTGTGTAATCGAGCTGTACACAGGCTTGGTCTTGGACCACTGTGTCCTGTCCAACTACTGCCAAGGCTGTGCTGTTGGCCCCAAGCCTGGTGACGACAACTATGAGGAGTGGCTTGAGAAACACAAGCCACAGTGCCAAAAGAACACCGATGCTAATGCAGGCCAAATGGAAGTAGAAGCAGCTAGGATCATGTTTGAAAGATCGTTTACCAAGTACAAGCTTCGATACATCAATGTGCTCTGCGACGGTGACAGCCGTACGTACCTTGCCCTCACGCAAGACAAGGTGTATGGCTACATGGTGATTAAGAAACAGGAGTGTGTGAACCATGTGAAAAAAAGAATGGGCACTTCCTTGCGCAACCTTCTTGATGAGCACAAATCCAAAGGCCGAGGACTGAGCATGGGTGGCAAAGGCCGGCTGACGCAGGGCCTGATAAAGAAGTTGACGAATTATTATGGCTGGGCCATTAAGAGCCACCCCAACGATGTTCCTGGCATGGAGAGGGCCATCATGGCCACTTATTACCATGTAACATCCACAGACCAGGATCCACACCACAACCTGTGCCCAAGTGGGACTGACTCCTGGTGCCCGCACAATCAGGCATTGGCCAAGGGAGAGCCGCTGCCGCCTTACAAACATAAACTGCCCCCTCACGTGCGAGTGGCACTGCTGCCAATCTACAAGCGCCTCTCGAACAAAGAGCTCCTTGAAAGGTGTGCGCAGGGAAAAACCCAGAACGCTGTGGAGAGTATGAACAGCCTCATTTGGTCACTCCAGTCCAAGAGCCAGTTCGCCTCCCTTCGAAGTGTGGAAAGTGCAGTTGCAGATGCAGTCTGCCGTTTCAATGGTGGATGCAAGAGTGCGCTGCAAGAGATCACTGCTCAACTGGGCTTCAATCCAGGAGACTGCTCTTTGCGGCGAGCAGCCGAAAAGGATGCCAAAAGGGTAAAGAGGGCTCAAAAGGCGCATTGTTCCACGACAAAGAAGCGCAAAACTGGGTTGCGCTCTACAGAGGCCAAGGCCACAGCATCTCAGGATTACTGCCCAGGAGGATTCTGAGTGTTTTAGGCATGTTGTGAACTTCCAAACAAGAGTGAACTTTCAAAGTCAGTTTTCTCAACTCTTGATTTTCGCCTATGTGCCTTCGCTAGAACATCCGTCATTTTCTAACAAAGACTGATAGAGTCGTTCCGTTTTTTGCACTAGGCTCAGGAGGCCTTTAGCAGTGCAATAAAGCTTTATCTCTCTTCTTACTCATCATTTAAAATTTTTAGAACACATTTTATAATTACTGCGATGTGTGCGCAAAACAACATTCATGTTTTGGAAATTTTATTTATGGTTACAAGAACTAGAAAAATCAACTAATAGCTTCTTTGCACAAGTTGATGCTTTGGGAACATAATAATATGAAAAAATAATTTCATTTAGCAATAATTATCTCTTTAAGTGTGAAGAGCATTAATTAGTATAATTATGCTTGTAACTCAAAAAGTACAAGAGGTATTTGAAAACGGTTTTCATATTTGGAATCCTCACAATCATCCACATACACACACCAAATTTCATCACAAACAGTACATTAATAAAAAAATTAGTTTTACTTGCCACGTCCCCCCTTAAAACTCCGTGCTTGACTTCATTTCCTGTTGAGCGAAAAGGGAATGCTGACGATAAATACATACATTTGGAAAGAGGGAAAAAATGTTCAGCCTCTCAAATTTAACCAAAATACCAACCTGGTATTGATGACTGCAGTGAAAATGTCATGGAAGAACTTGGGGATGACTGTTCTGCCTAGGATGTGTAGGCTGTTGTCTATAGTTCGGAAAGTGACTTGGTCGTGACAGGCACTGTTTGTCAGGGTTATCCATTATGTGCAGTGCGCAGGAAGGCAAATTCTGCTGTTAGCTTTCAATGTTATTATGGAGCTTTACAATTCAGGCGAAACCGAGGTACTCTGTCAGTTGTGTGTGGATATGTGATAGCCCACCCTAGCCATCATTTGCTGTTAGTAAGTACTGAACATCATCCAGTGGAGTTAGTATGCAAGCAGTTGGCGAGAAAAAGGCTTTCGTGCTCTTGAGTTTGGCAGCACAGGAATAGTTTTAAACGTAAAAGTTTATAGATAGCTGATTGCCTTTGTAATTGCATCCTACATTTTTGCAAAACTTGAGTTGGTTTGCAGAGGATAAACAAAATGAGAAGAAGGGATCAAAGCACATCACAGAAAATGTAGTTAAGTGCGTCAGTCAGCATTAACTGTGTTCAAGGAAAGAATGTTACACTTTGATGACACTCTAGGGAAGGACGAGCATCTGATAGGTTGATTGCCTTCACCAGGTTGGAGGATGTGCATAAACATTGTTGTATTGTCGTGACGTGAACCTTCAAGGCAGCTGTTGGCGTCTTCAAGGCGGAACATTACTTGGCCAAACTTGTGGCCGCAAATAGAGAACTTAAATTATAGCAAGCAGTGCATGTTGGACACTGCTATTGGCAGATGAAGTAGCACAAAAATAAAATGGTGGTGGTGGTACTACATAGCGTGAAGTTCCTGCGAACTTGGCACGTCGTGGATTTTTGTCTGTTAGGGACTGCATAGTTTCTATCGGTCAGAATCGGGTGCATCCTGTTGTATTAAACCTATTATAATGAAATATACATTATTTTAAACAAATAAATTAGCACTCCTGACAACTCATTTTTGTCACTTTAGTGTCCCTATTATAAGGGTGAAAACATCAGGCGGTGAACTAATTCAATGTTAGAAATAATTTATTAAAAATTTGCAGTCTTCTCTTCAATTTTGTTTGGTTAATTGGATGTAACCTTATTTAAGTTGTCCTCCAGTGTGACCTGGGTTCAGACCTGCTCTCCCACGGTGGGATGTCGAGGTAGTGACGGCGCTGCGTCGCAGGTCTGCTGGATGGCCCAAAGTTGGTCGCCGAGGTCGTAGCTGCACCGCGTCAGCTCACCACGGTAAAAGGGTCACTCGGTTTGACTCGTTAGTGAGTTTAGCACTGCATTTCCAGGGCACGTGTTTGTGTAGCAGTTTCCTGTTTGTGCATATCCTACATGCACCTTTGTGTACTTCAGGAAATGTCTGTTTCAGGTGAAGTGGATTCAGGAAGGTGTTTGTAGTTGGCGTAGGGCCAATGTCTGTGCCCTGTTAAAATCTTTTTGCATGGGTGGAAATTTAGGTCAAATTTCAATTGCATCATTGGCTGAAGAAAAACTTGTTGGTCGGAGTTATTGAAGTGAAAAGAGATTAGAGCACGCTCTGCA